TGTCTGGGAAACAATAAAGCGACTGTAGTAGTTATTTTAAATTAGTGAATAGTTATATTTTTTTAAGTTAATTCATTTGTGTCTTATCCTAACATTGACATGTGTTGCGTGATTAATTACGTAGTTTAATGAGTAGTTTTTAATTAGTGATGGCATCTGACGATTCATCTGAGAGACGTCTTCACCCCGGTCCTCGCATCAATTCGGTATTGCACATGCAATCTAGACACCGATCATAGGTTGTCTAGATGGAGGAACAGGATTATAAATCTCTGAATGTCAGAAGTGGACGACTAGCGGGGTTAGATGTTATTCCAGAGCCCATTGTACCTTATTTACATCGTGCTGGTTTTCTTAGCGCTGCTCGAATGGGCCGTATGGAGGTATTTGTGTGCTAAATATATTAAATTATAAAGAAATTATCAAAACGAAATAATTTCTTTGTTTTGTTTATTATTTTACGGTTTGCAGATTGACAGTGCATTAGTCACAACTCTAATTGAGTGATGGAGACCGGAGACCCATACATTTTATATGGTTCTGGGAGAGGTGACTATGACACTCGAGGATGTTGCAATAATCACAGGTCTTCCTACAGATGGTGAACCTATTAATGGCATTTATGAAACACGAGAGTTAAGAGCTTTGGTACCACAACTGCTTGGGAGGACCCCAAGTGCATCTGATCTTAAGGGTGGTACTCTTAAGATGTCATGGTTGGATGGAAATTTTGCAAATGTTGAGGAATGGATGGACGATGAATAGAATCTTCTCCGATTCATGCGAGCATACATATTACGCCTTATTGGAGGCTTTTTACTTGCGGATCACAATGGTGGTAAGGTGCACCTCCGATATCTACCTTTTTTTAGTGACTTGGAGGCATGTGGACGATATAATTGGGGATCGACAGTGTTGGCCTTCCTTTATCAGGAGTTATGCATAGCCACCTCACCTGATCGGATTGAAATTTTCGGTGCATTGGTGGTGTTGCAGATGTGGGCTTGGGCTAGATTTTTTACAATCGCTCCAGATACTATTCCACCTATCCTAGACTTCGACGATAGCAAAAGCAAGCGAAAACACCTGACTATTACCATCTTGTGTGGTTGCAATCAACATTGTCCCCTTTTATTTTCCATAGAGATGAGTGCCATTAATTTGTATCACAGGTTTACAAGATTTGAAGACATCATTGCATTGTTTGATTGTCCAAAAAACACGATGAAACATATCATGAGAGTTGTCTAGCTCACCGTCCATCATGTACGGAAGTCGATCAATATTGTAAAATGAACCTCGAGCAAACGACAACATGTACTTTAACCATCTTTCCATATAAGGATATGAATCTTCCTAATCACCAAACAACTTAACTATGGCTTTTTGTTTGGCTGTCCAGGCTTTTCATATGACGCTTTGTAACCATTAAGTCCAGAAATTCTTTCCTGAATTAGTGCAATGCTAATTGACGGATCCACCTGAACCATGCATGATAAATAAATCATGGAATACAACCGTTAAGTACTAGTACATTATACCATCGTCATTTATCTTAGATAAACACATATTGTTCGTAGTCATACCTAGAATACATGAACAAATGAAGTCAGAATCGAGTTGTCTGTGATCCTGCGAAAGATAAGGGTTTACATAAGTGTATTTGCCTCCCCATCTAGTAACAATCTACCGATCTCGCCATTTGGGCAACATTGCTCGCACCCTCCAAGGACATCCATCAACATGATTAACACATTTCATGAGAAGCTTATTTTTTTGCTTTCCTCCACTACAACAGTGTGATAATTCTTCATACAATAACATTTGATTGCCTTCTGTATCGATTCCTTACTTTCAAATTCTTGATTAACATATAATTCATCCCCCATTTGCCATGAACTATCATTGCCCCTATCAACAATCAGTTCTTGATCTGGGTGTTCCCAATTAATATAACTATAAATATAGTGTGGACTCGCATTCCAGAATGAAGTATTTGTTTGACCTACACATACTAACACTCTATCACATTCAAGTAACACATGAATATAACATGTAAAATTCCATAATTACAGGGTTAATTAACTAACCAGTCGGGATGACATTTGCGCCATTATTAGTGTCCACATCACAATCAGACCACTACCCTCAAGAGGAACTTCTTCATTTACATCTTCATCAAAGTCACTACCCTCAGGAGGAACTTCTTCATATACATCTTCATCAGAGACACCCAAATTAACATCCACGTAAGCTGCACCGTCTGCCTCTTCCACAACTGTATTCTGCCAATGATGTGATGGAGCATCAGAATGTGGCAAATTTAGATCCAATGACTCAACCGACAACGAAGAACTGCCTGCACAAGCAATGTCGGCATACAACTCAAGCATCGTAATTCCAGACTGTTGTTGAAGAGACTGTTGTTGAAGAGACTGTTGTAGAAACAGATTGAACATCATATCAACATCATCATCATCAGCAATTTATAGCACAGAAAATTTTCTATTATACGATATCGACCGGTTAATCGGGACACTGATTGATTGGGACCTAGCTTCAATTTCTCCGCAATCTTTGTTTTTAAATCATGCAATCTCAACCCGCATTGTATTTGTATTCCTTTGGTTTTCCCTTCAAATGTCCATCCTGTAGCACCTTCATGTATTCTACTATTGTAATATATGATTGCGTAAATTGACCCCATATCTAGAAAGAAAACAGTAAAATATTAGGCAATAAGATGTTTTATGAAAATTAGAAATGGAATAAACCAAATAATTTATTCTAAATAATATTATTAAAATACTGAACATTATACATGCCTATCTTAGGATATATCACAATATTTTTTATTGTGTCAAAGATCTAAATATAATTAATTACACATGAACATAAAAATATATTTTATTATGTAAAATCTCTATTAATTACACATGCCTATGTATAAATTCTTTTGTGTTAGGATATCACAAAAGAATTAATTTAAAATTAATACAACTATTACTAATTAAAACAAACCCTAAATATTAATAACAAATTAATTATTCTAAAATATATTATTAAAATACTAAACACAACTCATCAATGACTAATTATTACGTCAAAATGTAAATATAATTAATTACACATCAACATAAAATTATATTTTATTATGTAAAATCTCTATATATTAATTATACAACATGCCTATGTTAGTGCAGTAACAAAATAATTAACCATAAAATTATAACAACTTTTTACCAAAAAATTAAATAAATTATAACAACTATTACTAAATAAAACAAACCCTATATATTAATAACAATTAATTTTTCTAAATTATATTATTAATAATTATTATGTCAAATATGTAAATATAATTAATTATACATCAACATAAAAAAGTTAATTATTATTTAAAATCTCTATATATTATTAATTCCTATGTTATTAGGATAACACAAAATAATTAATTTCAAAAATTATAACAACTATTTCTAATTAAAAGAAAGAGCGGCATTTGTAAAATATTATTTATTGAGTGCCGATGGGGGCTGGGGACATCACTGTGTTTGGAAAAAAAAAATCAGTCAAACATGTCGAAAAAAAAAATCAGTCAAACATGCCGCGGGGATATGTGGGCGTCGTTTAGAGACACTGCAGCACTCAAAGACCCCAAAAGATACGAAATTCGTAATTTTAAATAGTACAAACTCCAAACCGGTCAAACACCCGATCGGCACATGTCAATTCCTCTCGTCATCTTAAACAATAAGCAACATTCGTAAGAGATGTTCATTTTTTTTTATCGGATAAACAAGATTAATGCCATCTCCGTACATTCCATAAGCAGCAAGCCATGGATGTAAGATCAAAGACAAATATAATTTGATCGGATTACATTTTTTTAAGTGAATTTGATTACAAAATAAATAAATAAAAAATATATTCACTGTTAATTTAATTTAAAATATTAAAAAATACACCTTTATTTACGTGTTTTATAATAAATTTAACAGGTAATTATTTTCAATTAATGCAACACAAATACGCGCAATGAACTTTCATGATCGATTACTTTTGACAATGACGCTTGAGTCCAGCTAGAGATGTTGAAGGAAGGTGGATTTATCGTCTTATTATCTGTCACGCTGGTAGAATTTATGTTGAAGGAAAAATTAAAATGATTTCATTTGCCTCGTATAGCAACCCACTCGCCCCCCATTCCAAGCGAAAAATCTAATATAGTACGAATATAGGTACAATAAACCAATAAGGACATTACACATAGGCTAACATGTGTACTGAAAAAAGAAAAAAAAAATTAATATTATAACTATGGATTCGATTTTTCTATTGTCAATGTAGATAAATTATCTACATTTAACCAAAAACGACATCGTTTTAAAGCGAAAATCAATATATTTTTGTAATTATAATTTATTTCAGGGTTATAATAGTCTTATTTATTATAATTTTTTTATTTTTTAATCTAAAATGACATCGTTTTAAAAATAAATATTTAACTATAAACATTAAAACCTATGATTATATACTACCAATCATACATAATTATAATACAACTGTTGCACCTAGTGTTCGATAGTACCGAAAATGCTCTCCTATTCCGGGTGAAATCCATTTTTGCTGTCGGTATTGCTTTTATAGGTTCTACCGTTGGGCTATACAATTTGATACTGTAATTGCCAATCAGCCATCATGCACTTAAGAAAACAGTTGCATTAGGCTTCAGCTCCGGGGTAAATGAATCAAGCTATTGGGTTTGGCTAAAGAGAAATTTTCTCAAGTTCTAACGAATTTGATGGATCAAAGAAAAACAATAATTCACTATTCACTAGTAACCAATATTTTTATTGGCTGAGATGCATCTATTCATACAAGTAACTTACAAAGGAATAAGTAAAGCAACTACCAACCGGCGATAATGAACGGTACCTACATATTTGATCTTAATTTATGATTAAACATAATAAAATAGTGAATGTGACAAACCATGACTTCAAATGATGAAATTTATTGCACTCGCACCAAAGTTGCTTTCCAGACAAATTGACAATGATGTTTTGAACAACTTAATGAAAACACAAGCAATAATTTATAATAGAAATACAATACCAGAAAGGTGTTTATTGAGCATACAACCCACAAACCAATGCTTGCAAATCTAGTGCAGCAAATTTAAAGTAAAAAACGCAGACAAAACGGGTACTAACAGCACACTTGACATGAAAAAGAAACACCAATGTAAATAGATGCATACTGAAACAAGGGCAGTCAACGAATCAATTTTGCAATGGAATAACCTCTCACATAAAAGCTCCAAGAGTTCCCTCGCTGCGACTCTTGCGAATGGAGCGCTCTAATGCTGAGTTCATTACTTTGCTGGGAGCATCAAAATGATAGCGGCTTTGGTTTGATGCTTTGGTCCTAGATGGTGGTAGGACTTGCTTGCCTTTGGATGACGGTTTTGGTGAGTCAGCTGTTTGACTTTTGCGAGCAGAAGTGGAAGCAGTGGATGGCCTCCGAGCAGCAGCTACAACACCGTGGCTGCCCTTTCTCGTGGTCTTACGATCCGCCCTAAGGCTGCGATCAAACTGATGGGAACTCACTCCTAACCGAACCGAACGATCTGAACCATCCTTCAAAGTGCTCGCTTTGATAGGCTGCCGGTTGAAGTAGACAAGATGGGGAAGAAGGCCTTGCAGATATTTCTTCAGTTGTTCATCTCCAACATTTTTCTGGCACGGGTTCCCTTCCAAGTTGATAGCTTGCAATGAGTTGTAGTTGGCTGCAAGTTGGCCTAGACATTTGGCTGTTGAAATTTTGTTAAATCGGAGATCCATTATACTTAGTTTCAAGAGGCGGTGCAGACCCTCAACTTCACTGATTTTGTTTCCAGCCAGGTACAGCTCCTTCACAGATGAACATGATGCAAGGCCTTTGCAAATGAGGAAAAGATGAATCAATGAACAGAAGGAAAAAATGGAGATTGTTAGAGAAATATAAAACCATTAAATGTAACTTCTCCCAACAGCTTAAACTTTGGATTGAATTAGTTCTTTACATGGTAATAGAACCTCATGTCATGGGTTCAATCCTCACCGTCCCCCATTTAATTAATAATTAATTCAGTATTGTGGAGTTTCTTAGCACATGTAGATGGGCCTGTGCATTATCTACCCTTCAAGCCCAATAGGCTCTCGTGTAAGGGGGCGTGTTAGAGAAATATAAAATCATTAAATATAGTCTCACCCAACAGCTTAATCTGTTGGGTTGAATTGGTTCTTTACAAAGATAATATCAGCAATCAACATTTTATGTCAATAGATAAAAAACCACTCCCCATGAAATTCTGAGATAGGGATGAGGGCAATCCTTATATGAAGCTTTACCCTCTTTGCATATATGCAAAGAAATTGTTTCTTAAATTCGAACCGGTCACCTTTAAGTCACAAAAGAGCAGCTATACCACTGCTTGAGGCTCACCCTCTCTAGAATGGCATTAGAATACCACTTTGATGTCAATAGACAATGGCATAAAAATTATTCCCATAAAGGAAATTCTAAATATGAAACTTGAGATGTAATCCAGAATTTGCTTTACCATGTCCAATTCTTAATATACGGTTGTAGCTGAGGTCTAGGACACGAAGCCGCGTAAGTTCGCGTAGGCCCTCTATGGTGGAGATATGGTTTCTTGACAAATTCAACACGTGAAGTCCTCGAGGAAGAGCACCAGCAGTTATCCTTACTGGAAAAAAGAATTCAGAAGGAATAAGGTAACTGAATTAAGTTCTATGGGTTTCATGACAACAGTGAAGACTACCATAACTCAAAAGTAATGAATAAATAAAATAGATTACTAACCAATAGCATTTCCAGCCAAATTGAGCACCTTCAAACTCACAAATGCACTCAAAAAGGGGATCACAACCAACCCATGATTTGCCAGCTGAGCCGCAGTGGCATTAGCACCCAGAGAAGATATATATCTTTTAGCCGCTTCCATTCCTGGAGTGACCTTATGATCCACCCCAGCAACGGTCACACCAGTTATGGTGTTAGCATCAACTAAGGGATCAACAGGTTCAGGCAATTCACTTGTTTCTTCTGCAGGTGGTCCACAATGCTGCAAATCTATTACCCAATCCTCAATGCGCTTAATCTTAAAATCCTTGTTAGGGAATTCACCCAAGCAGTCAACTGAGGAATCACGTCGAAGGGTTTTGACATCACTTATATCATCTACAATTGGCATTACCCAATCTTTTGCTGAACCAGAAAGCAGATAAGAATCAAAACCATCATCAAAACCATCTTCAGTTTTCCCCATGTTATTCTCTCTTTCTTGATCTCCCCTTATTTGATCATCAGACTCATTAATGAATACCTCTTTATGCTTCATGCCTAAAGCTTGAAGATCATCAGAAGATCTTGGCCTTGAAGATGCATGTATAAAAGCATATTTTCCAGAAGAAAGTGTAGAAGCTATGATATTAGGTAAAGAACATGACTTCATTAAAGATGGGGTATCAGGACCAGAAGTCTGGTCAGCAGAGTCACCAGCTAATTCACCAGATAATGGTGTATAAGAAATTTCAGGGCCATCTTTATCTGAAGGTGTTGGATCTCCAATTGAAAAAAGTGAGCCATCATTTGCAAGACTTGAACTGACTTGAAACTCACAGTTTGTATTCTTTTTACACTGATCAATGGGGTTGGCGTCATGATCCTTTCTGCAAATTGAAATTGAATCATTGTGGCTTTTGGAATCACTTGGAGTAAAGCCCAGATCTTCATCACCCTCAGTTATGTTGTCAGCGTATGGCTTGCCCTCTTGGTGAAGCCCACTTTCCAGAGACTGGCTTTTCCTAAGACGCCCAGTTTGGTGAATTTCTGTGTCACGTTCAAAAGAAAATTTACTATTCAGATCCACTGACCTACAAGCGCGCTCAACTGAATCCCAATTGCAAATATGATTCTCAATGACATTCATTTGCTTATGTACTTGTTCTTTTGAAAGTGACAAATTTGAGCTTGTAGGGTTGGCTGAATTTTTACGGACTTGGTCTTGGGAACCATCTTGCAAAGACTTCACCATTGCTTCAGTAGAAGGTTGAACTGTTTTCTGGTTGAGAGAGGAAAGCACAAAATCAAAATAAGTCATGTGATACCAACCAAGTTACACTAAGCCTATAGTTGCATCTTCTGCTTACCTTTGCCTTGTTGCTTTGGGAATTAGCATGGAAACAAGAAAATCTAAACATTGCTGCAGTGATGTTGAGAGCTACATCTATACGCGACTCTTTCTTTAAACCAGAAAAACAAATATCAACAACAATCTATAAGCTCATTAAATTTCCAGAAGCCAAATCAAAGACCCTAACTTTGCTTAGATTCAGTGGAAAGTTAGAAAGAGCTTCTGGCGTCACAGCAAAAGCCACCCTTAGCCGTAATCAAGGGACAAGCCCACTGAAACACGGCACAATCTCCATATGTCTGATGATTTTGATCTTCTTAAAACACAAAGCAAAATCACTCCCTCTTCATCACCCCACACCCTTCTCGAGGTGCGAGAATAGTTAGACTTTGTTAGAGCGGCCAGAGTGAAAGAAATTCTTTTCCGACTAGCAGAATCCCAAAACAATTACGCATAAGAGATGCAGGCCTGATAAATAAAAGAGAATCGAGTATCAAGGGTGATCTGATAAGTACACATCCATTCCACAGTATAGTACAACCACAAGAACAGGATCAACAACCAAAAAAAAAAAAAACCATAACACTTTTGCTCAAGAGATATATGGAAAAATTCACATAGATAATTTTGTTTCCAACATGATGATAAAACCTATAGACATCATGAAGTTATACTCTATAATATAGTTTGTGACTTTTATTTTTTACCTAGCCAAGAGTAACAATAAACTCCATCCACACAGCAATGCCTAAAAAACGGTTTCTTCCTCCTTTTCTAAAATCTAAACTAGCTCAAATTTAAGATTGCCCTTCTCCAACTTGGATATTTTTCGAAATTATTTCTAACAAATCAATCTCTCTGCAAAACCAAATATATGAAAAATTAAAACAAACAAAAAAAGAGAGGAAAAACTCAACAGGAATCTGGTATGACTTTAACATGCCCAGTAATTTAATCAGAAAAATAGAGCAATGGGGCTAAACAAAATTGGATCTTTGAATCCAACATAAAAAAAATAAAATAAAGTTAAACTATTGGATTCAATGCAAATCGAAAAGCATGTGGTTTCAATGTAAATTGAAAAATACAAAGGTTCCATTAGCAAGCAGATAACAGAACAAAATTGCATATATAAAAATGCAAAAGAGAAAGATAATATAATATATAGATTGCTTACAGAAAGAAATAGAAGGAGAAGGCAATAAAGAAAGAGAAGAGAGAGTTGAATGAAAGGGGCACTATTGTATCGAGAATCAGCCTCTTCTTCCTCCTCTTCCCTGCCCTGCTAAACCACGCAACCAAGACAGCACTTTCCTTTCATTTATCTATATATAATAACATAATAATTATAGCTTCTGAATAAACGGCGTAATGTGAGAAACAACACCTAACCTTAACCCTAAACTGCTAAACAAATAAGGTTTGACTTGTCGTAAAACATAATATTTATAAGTATTTTTCTAGGTTATTTTGTAGTTTTGTTCTATATGTATCAACTATCCTCTTTTTTAAAAAAAAAAAAAAACTTATTATCTATTATTTGGTTAACAAACAGGATATGATAAATTTATTATATTGATTTATTTTATCCTGTTACTAGTAACATAAGGTTTTTTATTTTATTTTTGTTAGAAATGGACAAATTATGATAACAAATATCAAATCCGCTCATCCAAATATAATTTTATATTCTCCTCTTCCAAACTTGCTAAGGAGAGTCAATTCTTTCATTAGGCATTCGTCAGCCACCACCGATGACCATGACCATGGGTACTCTGGTTGTGTAAAAGTAAAAGTTTTATATTAGAAAAAAATATTTATCTTTTTAAAATACAATTTTTTTAGTTAAAATTAATTTTTTTATTTAATACTTAAATTTAAAAAATCTCTCATTTTTTTCATCATAATTTATGTTTCTCTTACCATAAAATATAATAATTTTGACTAAAATTACATAATTTTATATCCTTTAAAAAACTAACATTAATCCCTTCATATTAATATGTAATATGTTAAGATATCATTTATTGAATTTATTAACTTTTTAAATTAACAATGGGACTAAATTAAACATTTAGTAGTATCATTATTTTATTTAATATTTGGGAAAAAAGTATCTAATGTTACTTTAGATAACTTTATCTAATGGTCATCAAAACGACGTCGTTTTAGGTTAAAAAATTTAAAAATTAAAATGATAAAGACAATTATAACCCTGAAATAAACTAAAGTTACAAAAACACCATGATTTTCGCCCCAAAACGACGTCGTTTCGGTGAACATTAGATAAAGTTATCTAAAGTAACTTTAGAAAACACAAACCCTTAATATTTATGGGTTTTATAAGAGTTATGTTGTAGGAAAAGTGATTGTGTAATATCATAGAGATTCGTTTTGTGAGCCTTAATTTTTTATTTATTTTTTTGTTTTAAAAAGTGTGGGCCCCACAAAATGTTGTGAGTGTAGAAAAGTTTGTTGTGTTATGTTAAAGGATAAAACGAAAACCCAATATTTATTAGTGTAAAATTTTATACTATCACTTAATCATATATTATTATAGATGGTATTTATTATAAAGGTATATGTGGGAGTGATGATAACGGAAAAGGTAAAACAAAAATAAATTTGATGTTTTATTTTTCATATATACGTAGTGTACGGAGATTCAATTCGTGCCAGGGAACTGAACAGGTCGAAGTAAAAGTATGTGTTCGATCCTTCTTAGTACCTTCTTTAAGAGAGGTTTAAAGTCTTAATTTCAGAACTCGTCCCGAATCAGACTAGTTGTGAAGCGATAAACTGATTGAAATATTTTCAAAAAAAAGTGTGTGGGACCCATATGAAAAGAAGATAGAGAAAAAAATAGGTCTCACATATTTTTATATGTGTATAGAAAATAAAATTATCTCATATAATATGAAAGACGTTAAACCCAAAAAGTTTTGAATCCTTGTTATTAATTTAGATGAGGGATATTCTCATTACTAAAAATTTTCACTACCAATTTACTACCTATCTAATCACCATTGGATTAGTATTTTTTCTCTCTTCAAAAACCTTTTAGCATTTTTTCTCTTTGATCCAACAGTGATTAGATGGGTAGTAAGTTAGTATTGAAAATTTTTGGTAGTAAGAATATCTTTCTTTATTAATTTATTATAGTTTTGTGTTTTATAGATATTTCAAAATAAAAATAAAAATTGAGAGCAACTTGAATCACGGCAATATAAACCGACACATTTAATTTACCGAACTTAACAGGAAAATGAAAGAAAATGCAGAGACAAACAAGCGGATTCTGATAAACGGATGGAGCGGACAATCTGTGGTTGAAAATTGAAAGGATGTGCGTGATGATATTGATTAACAATACATTTGCGACCATATCCACATCTATTATGTAATGCGAAAGCTACGCATGCTGCCACCAGCTCCGCAAATAATGCTTTTATATTATTTGCACAAGGTTTGTATGCACTTTGCTTTTTCTTTGACCACAAAAAACCCCTATTCTTTTTTTTTTTTGATAACACAAAAAACCCCTATTCTATTACTATTGTTATTGTTGAATTCAAATTATGACTAGCATTTTATTGTAGTACTAATATCAAGTGTGACGAATAGGTATAACAAAGAGTATCGTCATAATATAGATCTGAATCGCCTGTGGAAAAAATTGAATTTGACCAAAAAATACATGTTCGTTTGAATTGGTTGAATAACATTACTTTCAGAATTTTCACTAATCCTTCTCTTTAATTTTCATTTAATATTTTAATATTTAAACTTAGAAATGTGAGGTGTTATATTCACCTCACCTTTTAGAATTTTGTCCGCAAAATTAATTCATACATGTTTGCTAACTCAGGATATAGCCAGATAATCTCATCCTCCCGTTCCCAAGTAGCCTCCTCAGGTGTACTTCCTTCCCACTGAATCTTTAGCATTGGAATAACTTTGCTTCTAAGTCTCTTTTCACTGCGATCGAGGACCTCAATAGGACCTACAGGAGTCTTTAAATTTTCTCTAATCTCAATGTCATCCGGTATCACCACATGTGATTCATCCGGAATATAGCGCCGCAGCTGTGATACATGAAAAACATCGTGCAGATTTGACAATTGTGGGGGCAAGGCAAGTTGATAGGCCACTAACCCTACTCTTTTCATTATCTGATACGACCCAATAAACCGAGGACTCAGCTTCCTCACGCTCAATGCACGTCCAACACCCGTAACTGGAGATAACCGCATAAATACATGATCACCTTCTTCAAATTCAAGCGGTCTGTGTCTATTATCATAATAACTTTTCTGCCGATTCTGTACCTGTTTTAGTTTCTCTCTGATCATTTCAATCTGTGCTGTAGTTTCTTGCACAAAATCCGGCCCAAATCTCTCTTTGTCACCTACCTCAGTCCAACAAGTAGGAGTACGACATCTCCGTCCATACAATGCCTCATACGGTGCCATGCCCAGACTGGAGTGAAAACATTATTATACGAGAATTCCACCAGTGATAAATACTTGTCCCAAGCAGTGCCCTGCTCCAATGTGCAAGCTCTCAGCATATCCTCGAGTGTCTGTATGGTCCTCTCAGTCTGACCATCATTTTGTGGGTGATACGCAGTGCTCAGCCTGAGTTGAGTGCCAAAAACCTGCTGCAAGGCTCCCAAAAAATGAGAAGTAAATTTCGGGTCCCGATCACTAACAATGCTAACCGGTATCCCGTGGAGCCTTACAATCTCCTTTACATATAACTTTGCTAATTTCTCCGTAGAAAAGTCCACTCGCACTGGCAGAAAATGTGCAGACTTCGTAAGCCTGTCCACTATAACCCAAATCGAATCGTGACCAGCCTGAGTTCGAGGCAAACCAACAATAAAATCCATAGAGATGCTCTCTGTAAGAACCTGCATCGTTAATTAAGGTATTTAATTAATTAATTATGCAAAATTAGGAAATGATTCCATAATTGGCCCTAATAATTATTAAGAGGCTTTAATAATTATGGTAAGTGATTAAGAATGCTGAAAGTCGCTTTTCGGAAGAAAAATGCAGATACCGGTTCTGCTAATCAGTATAAATGCGTACCGAAAAAGTATCCCGAAAAATTAAGTAAGTGCATGATAATTACTAGAATAATATGTAGGACTTGTAAAACGAGTTTCGAACTGGTGCTAGAAACCGGTACTGGCTTTGAAAAGCGCGTACCCGAAAGGTGCTCAGAAAAATATAATAAAAATATGATAATTCTTGAAAAAATGTGTAGTTTCAGAATCCAAAGTTTGGGATTAAAATGCTAAGCGTAGCAATTAAAGTTAATACTGTGCGTTTATGTGTTAAATCACTATAAATAGGCACACTTGGCCCTAAACCCTAGGCACTCAGATTTGTCTACGTGACTTGGTGGCTGACTTGCACCTTATACATTGTTCCATTGCTTTCCCTTCCATTTCTTGAGCAAGCTTTCACCTTTGAGGCTTGTTCTTCCATTTAAACACTTGGTGAGGGTGAAGGTTGGTCTTGGGACTGCATTGGGGTGTTGTTTCTGAGTTAGAGAACCTGTGTGAGGGAGTTTGAAGAGTTGTGTTTGCTGTTCTTGAGGGGTGTGACCTTTTGTTGGCATTTTGTTGCTCCAAGATGCCTTCTTGTTGAGTGAAAGACCTACCTTCTTGTTCATTTTCGTGCATCTACCTTGAGTCAGACTTGAGGGGCTGTGTTGAGCTCCAAGAGCATCTCCATTCTGAGTTTTGAGCCTTGGTATGTTGTACCAACCTTTAACTTGAGTTTTAAGGCTTAAAAATGGTACCTTGATGCATCTAATGACTAAAAGATGATAACTTGTTGTTGGGTAATGTTGAACACGCCTAGAAATGCATGTTTAGATGTTTAAAATCGGTAAAAAGGGAACCTTTAAGGGATATCTTCACGAAAATGCAGAAACTGCATTCTGTCGTGAAATATCCGGATATTTGTCGGACAGATATCCGGATATTGGGTATCCGGATATGTGGTTTTGGGATATCCGGATATGTGAATATGTATATCCGGATATTGCATATCCAGATATGGACCGTGAGATATCCGGATATTGCATATCCGGATATGGTCCAGTGGAATATCCGGATATTCTGGGATTTCGCAGAACAGTAGCTGTGCTGTGTGTACAGTAGGCTATTGGGGGTTTGTGGACCCTAGTTTGATGAAGTTGAACTTCTGTATGTATTGGTCTAAGCCAGAATCATGGGATTAAGGGCTTGTGGCTTTGTTAGAAGCTTTAAGACTTGAAAACGTAATGGGAAGATGTTGTCTTTAATTTGTATGCATGTGGTACATGTTTA